GACATGATTCCCCCCTGTTGCACGTGCCCTTTGGCCAGAAGAGGCAAGGAACTGTTGCCTTAGGACTATCCTTTGGATTTGCCTTAGGCTTGTCTTGTGAGTCCTTCTTACCTTCACCTTTGCCTTTTCCTTTCTTGTCACCAGCCTTTGGCTGCTGTCCACCTTTACCACCCGAATCTGTTGGAACCTCGACCTTTGGCTTCGGAACCTCCTTGGCTCTTGCCTTTGGCTTCGCCTTCGGGATTGGCAATCCTTTGGATTCATCTTGACCATTTGAACCTGATGCCTGAGATCCTTGTGCAACAGTGGCCTTCGGAGTAGCCTTTGGCTTGGTCCTATCCATCAACGATGCACGAATCGACTCTTCATTCTGATCCTCTCGAACCTCGACGAGTGCGGACTTTAGCTTACCCGTGAGCCACTCCCAGGACCGAACATGCGAGTTCTCTCTCGAGTCACGAATCCGATCGATGTGTCGTTGAAGCAACTTGCATCGCTTCAACCTCGAGTATAGCCAAGTGAACTTGGTGGTCTCGGTCGGCTGGTAACCCTGGGGTATGCCATTGAGCACATACTCAATCCGCTCTACAAACTTCTCAAGATCCTTTGGGGTGTAACCCTCCAGTGTGAGATCCAAAAGAGTTTGTTGCGTCAAGTTTGCTCCTCTATTGAGATCTAGTCGGAAATGCTGGCTAATCATGCCAAGGAATGCACGACCTCTCGGCGCTTTGCACGCCAGTTGGCAAGATTCGGCATATGTCTGAAATCTCATGCCGAGCTCTCCACGCAAATGCTTTGTATCCATCATCAATGAACTCAAATGCGTGTCTAACCGTGGCAGCAAACCGCTGTCCAGGAAGTCTTGGGGTTCTTTCCCTTCCACAAAACTTTCAAGAAGCCAACTTAGAATTACCTCCCTCCCAGTCATGTCGATGGCAGCGACTCGAGTCAATAGAGTGTTTTTCCAAGCCCGAAAATCTGCAGCCGATGTTGGGATATAATCTATTTTGATGAGAGATAAGTCCTTCGACCGATATACATCCTTTTCAGTGATGAAACCCAAAACATTCGATCCTACTCCAATGCTCTGACCTAAACCATGTGGCGAATCGGGCACTGAAGGACCACTGCCACCCCCTCCGGGACCCCCTCCTGGTGGCCCATTTGGCCAACCACCATCCTCCGTGTCGCTGCTCGACCCCCCTGATGACGGAGGTCCTGTTGGCTTGACGGGTGGAGTTGTCGTGGAGACGGAAAACCATGGGATGTTCCCTGATCCTGACCCTGACCCTGGTGTTTTAAACCCTTGGTTGAACACTTGGGACCTTGGTTCACGGACCCTGGATGCAGGTGGTGATGTTGTCATCCTTGGATCGAAACCGGCACATGCTGAACAAGCATATTCAGTAGCTTCATAGGCTTCACCCTGACCATACATAGGAACGGGAGGCGGAGCAATTGGAAAATGCAATCTCGATTCACCTTTCTTTGGACTGACTGCCTCTTTGACATCTTTCCTGAGGTCGTGAATCGTTGCCATCACTTCGGCAATGTCAACACCCGTGCCATTTTGGGATTGTTGCTGCATCATCTCATTCGAACGCCGGAGATTGGTCACCTCTTCTTGCAACACTTTGATTGTTTTGTGCAGTTCCCGTTGCTCAACCCTTTGTTCATCCAACTGCCTACTCTGAATCGACAACTGTGTCATCAACTGATTGATCTGCTGTTGGGATTGGAGATAAGCTTCTTGGGCAGTATCCTGAAGTTCCAAAATCTCGGCTTGATGTTTCAATTGCATTTGATGAATCACCTCACTAGCTTGGGATTCCAACTGACTTACCCTCGAGTTGGCATGATCTATGGCTATCTGTGCATTGGTCTGGTTCTCCCGGACGGCTGCACTGGCTTCCGACTGAACCGCACTCACCATTTGTTGAGCCTGGGATTCAACGGATTGAACATGTGTTAATGCTTGAACTTCGACTGCATGAACATGTTCCCTAGCCTGTTGTTCAAGTGCATGGACCTGTGACTGTGCAGTGCTTTGCAACTGCAGCACCTGGGACGGATCAACACCGACATGAACATTCAAAGTTCTTTGATCAAAGATGCTCTGGTGATGCTGAAATTCAACCTTTGGTTCCGACCCTGGGCCACGATGGGAATGTTCCGAACCGCTTACACTCGAAGCACGATGACTTTCGTATCGAACTCTGCTGATCTGCCAACACCCCCTGAAACCGATTCCGATGAGTAGGCTGTACGGGGGGCAATGACTTCTGTGAACTTGCACTAGACGATCGACTACCCTTCGTGGAGGTTTTCCTCACTTGCATGGCTCTACTCTGGACAGGCTCTGGGGATGTGCTCGAAATTTGCAGTGATGATGACTCGGCTGAAACCTCCATTCCTGTTGGATCATTTGGCATGATTTCTGATACCTGTGGCATGTCAATCGGGAACACGAGCAAAAATGCTACACTACAACAGTTGCTTTACAAGTGAAGTATGGTTCGCACAGACTGACCCTTGGATGATCCCACTTTTGGCGCGCGAAGCGGACTGGGATTCACCTTGCAATGCGGTGTCCCTCGAAGGGAACGGCCACGTTCTCGTTTGTGATTTAGTTGATGGACTCTTGATGCAAATATGATTGTGAAATCGATGGGACTGCCGCAGCTCAAGTCAAATTGTTTGAACAATGTTTCAAGCTGGCTTCAACCACAAATTCCACAAATCACAAACCTAATAGAGAGCGCACACCAACTAGCGTCGATGAAATCCGGCCTGAGCAGCCTTTTCCTGCTCCAGTGCCTCTGCCACGCGATCAACGTTCTTGAATGACTTCACACCTTCCGGCCGAGGCTTGCGAGGTACCTGGATGTGAGCGATCCCTATGTCTCGATTCCAGTACCTCTTGAACTCAACACAGATCTCCTTCTTGTCGTCCACGTGGATGATCGACCTGTCTCTCCCAACAGTGAAGATCCTCGCGAGACTGTCTGCCTTTCCACCCTGACCAGTCGGTTCTCGAGTGATCAAGATGTAGCGGACGGGAAGTGTCCGTGAAGAATTCAACACGCAATCTCTTCTCCAGTTCAAATGCACGTATGAAGTCACCAATGTGCTGAACCCCAATCGGTTCAGTCTGTCAATCGCTGCTCGGGACTTAGCCGGAACACCGTTCTCTTCCGCAGTCGGATATGTCACGTAGCTCCCCTCACGAAATGTGTCCAACACCTGGTGAAAGTCTAATGACACTGCAGTGCCTCCAAGATCAATGCGGCTCGCCGGACGAATCCTCTGACCCTGTGCACTGTACAACTCGACCCTGTTCGCGTCAAGATAGTGCCAATCAATCGGTTCAGTGTCACGGACTACAATCGGGAATACAGAAAATACCTCTGGAACTGCGCTCACCTCTGGTGTTGTCTGTAATGCTGCTGCTGCACGCACCTTTGGTGTTGTCTGCAACACTACTGGCGGTATTGCCTTCTGGGGTAAACTACCCTTTGAAGTTGTCTTCAACACTGGCTTTGCCTTCTTAGGCGGATCCGGAAGAACACTCGGGGCGGAATGCAAGTTCTGTGACAACCGAGAAAAAACTGGCCTTGATCCTATCGCCTTTGGCAACGCAAGCAATGTCTCCGCCGGCCTATCGGTCACTGAAGATGCAATGGGCACCGGAACAACTGAAGAAGACTCTGAAGCTCCCTGTGGAACGAGAGGTCCCTCAAAGTCCTGCTCCAACTCTTGTTCGTCCTCCGACAGTGGCTGATAGACGCTCTCAGCACAATGGCTTTCAAGATCGTCGGCGTCCTCCACTCGAGGGAGAATTGGTTCGGATCGCAAAGGCAACTTGTTCTCCTCCTTCGCCAATCTGAAAGTCTCCTGAGCCTGATTCAATCGCCTGATATACTTTCTATCTCCGTTTGATGCAGCAACACCGATCTGCACAAGATGAATGTAATATTCAAGGATTGTCAAGACCAACGACTTGCGGCGTCTCTGGAAATCTTTTCCTGCTCGCTTCTCAGCTTTGACCTTCTTGTACCGATCTAAAGCTTCGTTGAGCCGCCTGCCAACGTCTTGAAGCGGTGTGCCAGCGGCGACAGCAGGGGATCGAGAGCGAGCTCGCATTCAACGCCGAACAGCGAACGAGGTAGCGTGCAGTGAAACAAGAGTAGCTAACTCCTTTGATCCAATGCAACGAATACGACTTGCTTCTTTCAATGAGTGAGCTTAAGATCACACCAATGCAAACCTTTGGATGCAGCACCAGGGATCGGCAAAATGCACCGATTAAGCTCCTTACTGGATGAGTTCTGCACTTTAATTGATCTTCGAACCTAAACTAGTGAAGGCTATCTTACGATGCGATCGAACTAGTCTCTTCCAATATGGATTTAACTCGGATCCTATCCTACGAAGTGGTGTTGCTGAAGAAGCAACGCCCCACGGCCCGAAATGCAGTCCTTGGATCTGACGCTCGGCTTTCTGTTGACGGCAGCCTGACGAACGGATGGATGCCGAAATCACACTACGTGCTTATCCCAAGAAGGACCCTTTCAACTCGATGTTGGATCCAGGTATTGAGACTCACAAGCAGTGGCGGGGTTGCCACAGGAAAGCTGGCTCAAGGCTATCCTATGACGAATATGAAAATGCAATAGCTGAGGCTGTTAACCAGTTAAACTCACCAACCACAGCCAAAGTTGGTAGTTTAGTAGCAACGGCAAGCACCACGCGCAAACGCCTTTTTCCGCAGTGCTTGAGCCAAATACAAAGTCGCGTATGCAAAATGATGAGTGACACATGATGCATGAGAAGACGTCAAGGAATGCTATGCTCTATACATGCTTTCCATCAACTCACTTAAGCCATTTTTTTAACAATTAGCACTCAGACTCAAAGTTTGGGATTCCTTATCATTATATAAACAGTCTGCAGGTCTATATCCGGTGTCAACCACCATCGCGTCGTTTCCATCGCCAGACCTGCTCCAAGATCGCCTCCACCATCTTCCGTGACGGGGCATAATCCCAGGCCACGCTCACAGCCACCGGCTGGACACCCGTTGCCGCCTTCACAGCACCTTTCAACTTCTCCTGGATCAACGAAGCTACGCAAAGCTGGTTGCAAAGTTATACCATTCAAAACTAAAACCAAAACAACCTCCAAGTCTGACATGCTTGCTCAGCTTTGCTCTCTAATCCATTCGCCAGTCCTTCCCCAACCTCACCACAAGGATGGCCCTCCCCGCGACACCTTCCTTTTTGGGGCTCCGAAGAACGCTGCCCACACGGGTGCCTCCACCGGCTCATGCCCGCCCAAGCTCGGGAGCCCCTCCAGCTTGGCGGCGAAGCTCGCCATGGTGGCCTGAGAGATCGAGGGCCCCCAACAGACAGACCGAAACCAAGGCCGGAACCAAGCGGACCATGGGTCCTCCTCCTCAGGTTTAGAACAGGTCTAGAAAAGCTTTCTGATACCAAGATTACCAAGATCGTTTCTGAGGAAAAATTGGGGGAGGGCCATCCAAACACTTTGAGGGTTCAAAAAATGTGCGCTGATTGCGCTGTGCTCCACTTCTTCATCCCAATATCAAGATCCTCTGCTGGCCCCACCGGCTCGCTCAAAAGTTTCACCAGGAGATGGGTGTGGATTTTTAAGAGGGAGACACCCTGCCCCAATGGGTAGGCCTATTTCCCTTCTGAAAAGAGGATCGTTGCCTGTGAGCTACACACCCATACGGAGACCCTCTGTCCTCAGGGAAACGGTTGATCCTGTAAGCATCGACTTGGAGTCACACTCCAAGTGCTCAGGTAGCTCATACCTCCCCAACTCATGTCAAAATCACAGGAAACTTGGCATCTCATCTCCAATCACGGCAACCAATGCCTTGTCCGGGCAATCGCCAGGTCACATGCTCCACATCAGCTCGAGCAAAGAGCTTCGTTTGCTGCACTGCGTAGAAGATGGCACCACCGAAGGAGAAGATGTAGGCGAAGCAAAGCCAGGACACCTCGTGCCAAAGCGAAACAAACGATTTGCCAGCGCCAGTGGCTGCGCACTTGCCCTCTTCAGTGCACCACCGTGGCCCGTGTGGCCCGAGGGTGTCATGTTTTACTCGTCACCCTTTTTTGAACGTTTGGCTTTTGCAGTCCAACACAAGGCTGTTGGCTTCGTCACTGCACAGACTCCATCCATCCATGTGATTCCATGTCAGTCTCTGCGGGACAGCATCTCCACCTGCTGGTGAGAATACAACGTTTGACTCTAGCTGCCAGCTGCCAGCTGTGCATCGTTTCACGCCACATGATGCGACGTCCTCTCTGGCTGTACACCTCTTGAAGCACGTTGCTTCAAGGTTGCAGAGCAAAGTATCAGCTTTCGGAGACAGAATTTGGCTGTGAGAAACCGCTCTTATTTGTGTTGTGCTCACTCTGCTTGCCATGCTCACCCTGTTGTGCTTCATTCCGACCTTTGCAGCTTTGGAACTGTAGTGTATTTGGGGACTTGATCAGAGAAAGATGGTATAAAATGATATGACAAATTAGCATCAATCCGTGAAAGCTACCCTTCATTGAGATTGGTCAGTTTTGGGGACTCAAATCTACCTCGTCTGGTTGTGGAGGGTCCGTCTGTTGAGACAAAGCCCGATTCTGGGCATCTTGATGATCTTGCTGAATTGATTTTGAAGAAAGTTGAATCGAATGTGGCAAATTCACATCTCAGCTTTAGCCAAACATTGGTAAATCAACACTGATTTGGAAGACATTCACTCCCCGGCCTTGGTCCAAATCAGCTCCATCTGTCGGTGGTGACCCCATTCGACGATGGCACAAAGCATCTGAGGGGATTCGGCCAGTCGATTGCCCAAAATCAGCAGATCCTCGGATCACTTGAGCTCCTAAACATGCCAACATGTAGGAACAACGTTTTTATTTTTTAAGCTCGGGGGGGGTAGGCTGTAGAGGTAGTAGCTAGGTAGCTCGTAGAAGAGGTAGCTAGTACCTTCAGTAGCTAGTAGCTTGGACACAGGATGGCTCACGCTTCTTCAAGGAAGCTCCCCCCGCCGCCCTATAGGCGGTGGGGGAAGCTTCCTTGAAGAAGCGCTCGCACTCGCACTAATGATTTGGTTTCTAGATGTTTGGGGAAACTTACTGTCATGGTCGTAGCATTCAGAGCCACGAGAAGAAACCATGCCAGGTACAGTGGGCCATTTACAAATCCGATGAAACTTAGAGAGATCCAGGAGACTTCTTGATCCCAGACTTGAAGACTGAAGAAAGATCTGCCTCTGGTATTTTGGCCAAGGATCAGAGCTCACAAAGATCACGAAGCCAAACCAGACCTCAGCACACTTTGAGGTTTGTCTCAGCTCGGTGCGCTGCCTCCAGGTCTACGGAAAGGGCTGCTTTTTGGCTACTCAAGAGAAGGAAGACTATGGCCAACTCCATCAATCTCGCCATCCCCTGGAACCCGGCTTTGGTTTGTGCTCGAGGACTCTGTAGGACTCTAGAACAAACCCGGTTCTTATGGGAGGCTCATTTGGAAGGACTCCCGATGTGAGCCTTCTGAAGAGAGGATTCCCCACTTCTACAACACTCATTCTGACTCATCCGACAAGTATGCAGATGCATCCCGGCAATCTGCGGTCGACCTCTCAACCAGGTCGACCACCTGAACAAATCGGAGCCCCATCAGCTCATCCTCCAGCCCAACATCGGCCCAGGCACGAGCAACAGTGTGATGGCCCAGATCAAGAGCGCAAACTGATAGCGGAACAGGGCCATGGTTCCAACGCCCGCGACATTGGTGCCTCGGCTCGGTCCATAGAGTCCCGAGGTCTCGACTTGGAGACGAGACGAGGCGAGCTGCAGCTGGTTGCGGCTTTCGTCGTTTTGTGTGGGCTGTTCAGGAGAAGCAAGCTGTGAGTTTTCATGCGTAGGACCTTTGATGTCAGTGTTTACATTGCAAGATGGGGTGAAGAAAGGTATTTAAGGTGCTTCCATCAGAATGCTTTCATGCCACAGGGTGGTGACACTTGAAGATCATTTATGGGATGTAAATACCCGGCACCCTCCTTTGGAGATTCCTTCGATCACCTGTCTGTCAGGACCTCCCACCTCACCGAACCTATGCACCTCACAGGCCGATTCCAAAACCACGGCGCTGAGCAGGTTCGTGGTCAAGGGATAGGCTTCTCCTGAGACCTCTGTGAGCCGCGTGCGCTCGCGGCTCTCGTAGCCCTCGGCCACACCTGGCGCCGGTGCGGCGGAACAAGGAGCGCGTATGACGCTGGATGAAGATGAACAACGATCATGCAAAAAAGTGCCAATGAGTCAACGAAAGACACGCCCATTCCTTCAAAAAAGGGACTCGGCCCGATCAGATTTCTCATTGGATGAACCGTCCTAAAAACGTCTTGAATCCAGGATCCAGGGTGATGTATAGTCCAAGAATCTGGAAAGTAGTAAAGTAACCATGAGTCTTGGAAATGTTTCATCCAAATAAACGGACCAACTGCTGGGAGCTAAACAAGACTTCTGTCCTTCCCTGTCCTTCGCTGTCCTTCGCTCCCCGCTTCCGAGGTCTCAAAGGCGCTTTTAAACCCGCTCGCCTTCGGGGTTCACGCAGGGCTTCATGGAAATCAGCACATACCACACCTCACCATCGGCAGCCGAACAGCCTGTGGGTGGGCCAAGGTGGTGGTTCTCTTGGAATCATGGAATTATCGCGAAGCCTTCTTCCCAGGTCGTGTTCGACCTTCTTTCACAGGATCGACACCCACTTTGGGTGCATTGGCATGTGTCAGGTTGCGGATCACACAGGACCACATCCCGCAAGTTCACATGTCCATCCTTGTTTAGGGAGTATATAGGGGTCTTCGGTGATATGACTCACAACCTTGCAAACTTCGGCAGTGTTTGGCACATCTTTGAATGAATTGGAACAATCCTTACAGAGGCCAGGTCCAACGCAAGCTAGCCATCCTTTAGCAGAATACGCGGACGAGTCACGATCACAAGGATGACAGCGACCACCGAGATCACCGCCATCGCGATGAAGAAGCCCAAGCCTTTCCTGGGCCAAAAGAAATTAAAGTGAGAAGCTACTAGGAACAAGTGCCACGCTAGTAGTAACAAGTGCCTTACTAATAGTAACAAGGTTCGCTACTAGTAACAAGTGCATACGTCTTGCCACAGCTCAGGCGAGGGTGGAAGGAGACGAGGCGTGAGAGGTGTGAGACGAGGCGTGGGTGGCAAGCAGAAACCAAGCCAGTCATGAAGGTGATGAATGCTTTTGTTGACATCCAACATATTCAGTCTTCGTTTTTGTTGCCCGTGTGTGTGTGTGTGTGTCAAACTTTTAAGAGACTTTGGGGATTCACACAATGATGTGAATGACACCAAAGAAGGGGCAAACAGTGAACAGGTGCGATGCAGCAGCAATGAGGCCCCTAAAACATTGGGACCTTGCACGCCCTTACATGTTCCAAAATCAAAGGACCAACTCCAACAAATGGAAGTTGAGCAGCTACGCAAATGATCGCAAATGTATCAATCCCAGAATCGAGACTTGTTGTATCCTTCTATCTAAAGGGGCACAACTGGAGAAGATTGCAACAAGCACCTAGAACCAGCGGCTTCATTTGTTCTTTGCATATATCATACATATATTGTTTCTATATCTACAGTATATAATACTATATAACCATCCAGAGTCTGAGGCTTACTCTCCCCACGCATCGGCATGTGAGTTGCCGAGCTGCATCTGGCATTCACCCTCCTCGGTGAGCGAATAGCCCGGCATGCCTCGCTGAGCTCGCGAAGCGTCGACTGGAGCCCTCCAACTCTCTGCTCTTCTGGTGCGGCAGGTGTAGGGAGTCAAAGGTGCCGAGTCCCTAGTCGTTACATATGTATATTTATATACATATGTAAAGTATCCCCTGCGCACCTCAGTGGGTGAAACATTCTTAGTAGTCAACCACCATGAAGATGAAGAAGCAAAACAGGGCGTGGCCTCAAAGCCCCGCTCCACTTGAGGCAAGCGTGATAGGATGAAAAGCAATATCTACAAGACACGATAGCAAAGTTGTGGTCCGGAGTCCGGCGTCCCACTGCCCCACTGACCAATGGCTTGGGTGCAGGTACCCTGCGGCTCGCTGTCTGATCGGCCCCTGATTGGCCCCTGTCTGGCCCAGTGGCATTGACGGCAGTGCTCCAGTTTCTCTCCTTCGCAGCGGAAAGGGTGAATAAGACCGGTGCCACGGAGAACCAGAGAAATAGGTCATGGTCCCTGATTTGAGCAGACCGTGGCACACAAGAGAAGACATGAGCCACTCAACCGTAAATAATCCCAAAGTTCTATCTCGATTCTGGTACAGTGCTCTGAAGACGGTATCCTCAGGTCTTCTTGCCACAGAGGCTCCTACTTGCCCAGGCTTGGCGTGCGCACAATGCAAGCATCCTTCTACATTGCAATGTCGACAGACCATCAGCCTGCACCGCTGCAAAAATTTGGCTGGGCAAAGAAGATCAGTACAGTATATGAAAGCCAAATAGGTCTTACGAACGAGAATTATGATTCTGGGCAGTGTTCTAAAATATCTCTGCAAGTTTACCATTTTGTGGGTTCCCTTGGCTTTTCAAATGAGCAAAATCAACCAAGACAGCCGCTTCCAGACTTTTCACCCCCTTCCCGGTCTCTACTCATCTCCGCCTGTCATCAGGGATCGTGGCATTCTCCACTGTACCCAGCAAACCGCACTGGTTCCGCTCCACGCAGCGAAAGTGGCAAAACCTGTGGGACATCGTCACCGAAAGAAAAAGGCTCCGAGTCGTCAGATATGGTCTGGATCGCCCATCCAGGTGAAGGATCCGAGTTCTGGAGTTGGTTGAACGATCGGAGCGCGCCAGCCGCGCTGGCCGCCGGAGAGGTGTGCTGGAAGGGAAGGAAAGCTGCGCAGAGTCCCAATTTCTTGACATCAAATGCCAAAGCTCTTGAAACAAAACTGGACTCCCAGGATCCCACAAGACCCTGCAATTATCATCTTTGATGCGCCCACCCCATCATCCGATCATCCCAGTCTGCACGAGAAAACCGCCGACGCCATGGCCGTCAAGGAGCTCCTTTTTCATCTCAGCTGCATAGGGACACTTTGCTGGGCAAAGCTCCGGCCTCGCGAAGATGTCCTGGAAAGTCCGCATAGCTTGCCAAGGTGACAAAATGCGGGGCAAGAGAAGGTAGGGAGACCCATCTTAGCATGGTACAGTTTCTTCCTTCAGGAGAAGTAATAACTGGTTGCAATGATCGGTCATCTCAGTCAAGAAGAAATAAATACAGTATGAGTAGCATGAGTACCTGCTCCAAGGCAAGAAAGCAAGCTGGTCACGAACAAGAGGTGTCCAAATGGAAACTCCGTAGTTTTGCAGAAAAAGATTCCTGGGAGAACAAAGAGTTCCCTGCTGGAAAGACTGTAGAAGGGAAGAGAGCACTTTGTGGTCTGCTTGTTACAACGTGTACATACCATCATACAAGTAGGCCCAGCAGTCTCATGTTTTTGCTGAAACTAGAAGCTCTACACACAGGCGAGTCTGTGAGGTTGGGTCAAACAAGACTGCTCATGTCTCAACTTGTATGCTTCGAGTGTACAAGCCCCCTTACCAAGAACATGCAGTGCAAATCCATTGGGTCTTTTGGCATGAAGATTGCCTGCATGCTCTTGCTCTTGGCAAACAACAGATTGTGCTTCGTATATACCGTACCTTTGTAGGATGCAAGGGGGAAGCGGCTGTACTCATTTCAACATTTTAAGAGCATAACGTTTCTCTGGCCGGAGTAAGACTTTGTGTTCATGGAGCCTCTCTCTCTGACACGTCCAGCCTCTTCGCAAAGGCTCGTGTCCTTGCTCTGGACTTCCTCAGGCCTGGACTGCACAACGGCTTAATGTCTGGGAGATGTTTGGACTCAAACTTTCCTATTTCACAGATGGTTGGCCCCTGCTCACCCTGATTCATCACAGCTTGCCACAATTCATATGCATGTTCCATGCTGTTGATGGACCACCCAACACCACCGTTTTGCCACCCTTCTGCCCTTCTGCTGCCCTCTGCGGAAGATTTTCTCGCACCTCTCATCGGGGTTGTAGCCCAAGACCTTGAGCCTGGCAAAATGCCCGACAACATTCACCCGAAGCGCAACTCACCCTGGGTCATCTACTCTGTTCCTTTTCTGCAGTCAACCCGGATCCCCCACTGCCATGACCCGCGGCTATGTCTTGATCATCGATCAGGCTACACTCCAGGGACCGAAGTGACATCAGTGCGAAGAGATGCTTGTCACTGATCAGTCATTGGACATTCAAAGAGAACAATTAGCCAAAAGTCCAAAAGTCATCCTAACCTTTGCTTGTAGAGCAACTCCAATGTTTCAGACAATTACTTTACAAAAGCAATACTGTAACGAACATGCGCCGCTTGAGCCGTCGCCTCTCTCTTCCGTGTCGTGTCGTTCGGGGCACCTGAGACGCGGCCCCGGCTGTAAGTCGTTCTCCTGGCATGTCGCAGTTGGGGGTCATTCTCCCCAAAGCGGATCGATCGCCTCCTGAATACTTCATCCCTAACCATTGAGCTTGGCTGAGTGGAAATATAAAGGTCAGAAATCGAAGTCGGACAAAGTGTTGGCACTTGATTGATGGGATTTCAACTTCCGCCCACACCCTCCAGGCCAAAACTCTAGACTCTAGGCATTCCCTCAGGAATGGGCCTAAAAGGTGCAGAACAGCTGCTTGTCTATGCAGTGGCCATTGCTCCGGTTTGCTCAACAAGTGCTGGGCACTATCTACAAGTTCAAGCAGTGACTGATCAAGCATGCAGCATGCTGTCTAGACCTCAATACCAAGCACCGAGGCCAAAAAACTACACAAGTCTCGGGTTTCGGTTTAGGTGTCAATGCTCTTCTCACCACATTCACCACATGCCTCTCTCTCAGATTCACAGGACCCTTCCCCATCTCCTGTGACACGGCGGATTTGACTGCGAAGTTCTGGAGCAAACTTCTTTGCTTTTGAGGGCCTTCCAACGCCAAGTTCGCCAACGAAGCGACGGTGCGCCGGAACCACACCCCCAGAGAAACCGGTCGAGGACCCATCCACCGGGTCGGGCCCATCTGGGTCTGCACTCTCTTCGTGTATGCCAGTACAGCCAGTATCACCACATCTGAAGAGGTCACCAGAACACGATCCCACTCCCTGTGTCCGCAAAACCTTAAAATGGAACACCTCCAAAAAGAGAGACTCGCCCACTCATCTCGCACGGAAAATGAGAGGACCAGTCGCACGGAAAGAGCCGTGGCCCATTTCCAGTGACTCGGTGTAGTCTTTCCAATCCAAGGGTACCATGTGTGACTGGTAGTTGTGCTGAGATGTCTCCCATTAGCGCCGCACGTCTCCCACCTCCGTCGAGATCACAGGCCTCCTCACCTGGCAGGACGCAAACCGCCCATCTCGCCCGGCCCGCGCGTCCAAGAGGGGTGCTCCATGTCCAGCGAAGGTGGAAGAATTCAATAGCTGGATCTCTAGGGAAGTTGGCAGCCTCTTGCAAGAAACCCTCGCTTGCTTCCGGCCCAAGCGCATGCTGTAGCTATGAGCAGGGGAGGAAGCAGTGTTGCTCGCCTCTGACGGCCTTCAGGAAGACGAAAAGTAACACCTCAGGCGAACAAAGCATCTCAAGCATGGATGACTCACTTTGGCAAGCGAACAGCTGGATCTGTCCTTTTGGTTGTAAGAACTCCCAGGTCCATACCGTTTGCCTTCCTATCGGACCTGCAAATACGAGGTCGGCCTCTGGAACCGCAAAATCATTTCCTCAAGCAGGTTTTAGGCTGTGCTAAACACCAGCAGTTCTCTACTTGTCTCTCGCCTTCCCATATCAACTCCACTGAAATCCAGCTTTGACTTTGCCAAGGCACGAAATGCATCGGGGCGATTCAGGCGCCCCAGCGATTGGTCGAATGATAAGGTCAAAGCGCGTTCATGCGCAGCAGGCGCGCAACAGGACGCGTCACGGGCGCAGGACTACAGCCCACGGCTTCCAGAACGGCAACTACTTGGTGATGGATGGTCAAACCACCCTTTGGCAGTCTATCAAGCAGCTCAAGCAAATGTTGACTCCTTTCCGGAACTTCTGCTACACATCAACAGGACCGGTGTGGAGCATAAACGGAAAACAGGATAGATACTGTAAACACCAGATAAGCAGGGGTCCAGTCTAGGATGGCGCGATAAGTCCTCAGCTGTTGGCAAGGCCTCCTTTTGAAGGAAGCCCCCAGTTTTAGACCCTTCAGCCCCCAAAGAATTCACGTGTGTTTGTCCCTAGCTTGCTGCTTCGGGTTATAGCTGTACTTTCGCTAGAGATTGTCTTGTTTATCTTTCAATAACTCAGTCAGAACAAACCTTAAATACCACCAAGTAGAATCAAATGGATGGACCCTCTCTTCTACTTTGGCTGCGCTGTCCATGTCTATGCTTCCGTTGCACCTTCTGCATCCTTCACAGCCGCCTGACAGTCCATCGTGAGAACGCGGCCGGCTCAATGCTGAGGACCGGGTTTCTTCCAGAAGCTGTAAGGTTTTGATAGTCCAAACGAAGCCATCAAGAATCCCTTTGAATGAATTAGCCCATCAACCATCATTGGCACAAACATGACTTGCTACAAGGGCTGGTCCGCAAAAGATCAACATCAAGCTGCTTCTTCTCAGGACGGTGATCACATCAGGTCCGGCATCCTTTACAGAGAATCAAGACTTCGACTCGATATATAAGACACGCGCAGTCAACCGATCCCCACCAGGGAGCCTCAGCAACAACCTGTATATAGGATTCAAATCCCTTCCAAACTTGTGGTTCTACAGAATGTCTCACATGAAAGATCTCTTGAAACTGAGCGCTTCCTGGATGTTGCACACAAAGGTTCTTTCCCTCAGTCAGATCTCCACCCCTTTAGGCTAATTGGAAGTACTCTGGTCTTCATTGCTTTCCTGCCCCCACAGTCGCCGGGATTTTGCAAGGAATCTGCAGAATTTGCCAAACAAAGAAACTTCAAGCTTCTTGCGATTCTGCTCCCAAAGGGCCTTGCAAGCAGCCACTTTGGCCCTGATCTCTGCCAGGACCTGACGAGGGACATCAAGCGGCATCAGCTGGAACCAGCGACGAGTGCGACGAACTGCACGAGTAGTCGAAATGTGTGGAAGTGGCACGACACCGAGGCCCTTGGTAGCATTGTGCTGATTGGATTCAATCTAAGGTGCTTGGGGTTCCAGACCACAAAGGCATTCGGGTTGAGTTCCAAAGCATTTCTCGTTCATCACTGATTCATCACTGTGCTCTGGGCAACTGCAACTTGCCTGGTCAAAATCGCCCAATTGGGAGACATGTTTCTGGCACACCATAGGTGACTAAACCACTGTGACAGGGCGGCAGTGGGTGAGATCCCGTGTTTCCTGTGCTAGGAATGAGATGAAGGAAACTACAACATGACCCACTCCTGAAGTCCTTGGAAACTCTATCTTGATCTCTATCACTCCTTTTTGTCCCTTCGCATTCGCTGGCGCTGCTTCGCCTCGTCCACGTCACGGTCCTCCAAGAGCTTCTGGACCTGAATGGACCGATGTCGGAAGCGTCGCCCCAAACCGTATTTCTTGCTCTCCTGGTTTCGGGCGAACGGGAAAAAAAACATGACTGCAAAAGGTTTCACAAACAGCAACATTGCTGATGCTTGCTGTACCCTCGAACTGACGAGCTTTGGGAAGATGTGAAAAACACAATGAGGCACTATTTGGCTTGGCTACCCTTGCTTTACCTTTTTGACCAGGATCACAACCACTGTGATCTGGTACCCCTGTGAACATCCCAGGAATGATTGCTGTAGCGTATCACAGCAGCTAGATGAAAATGAAAGGATGGTGTTCTCCATTTCATGGACGGCCCTCCCCAGGAAAAACCCAAACGCCACACTCCGAAAGAGTCGCAGAATCGGCCCAACATTAGTTTCTCGCGTGTGTCGTTCTCGCGTATGTGCCACAAGTGCACATCTTTCGTCGCCGGCCTTGGATCGAAGGGTCACACCCTTCTCCTTCTTTTGCTTCGGCTCCTTCGACCAGAAGGAAAACCTCCGATCGACACCACACCTCGTGCGCGTGGCCTTCACCTCTTCGTCCTGCTTCTCAGTCACCTACATAGGCCGTAGCCGTTCCGCAAAGGGCCAGTTCACAGGACAAGCCCATTAAAGCTGCTTCAGAAGAAACTGGTGCTGTTTACAAGAAACTACAGCGGCAGTGCAGCTTCAGCTGGGTGCCTTCGCCTTTGCTTTGGCCTTGGCCTTGCTCTTGGCTTTCGCTTTCGCCTCACATGGATGTCACAGGTGCAATGGCGGGCCATATGTGCCTTTACGATCACTTCCTACATGCGGCAACATCGAAACAACCAGTTTCCATCACAAGAGGTCTGCAAAGGAAAGAAACCCGGTCCGCAACGGACATGCTCCCTGCCGTTCCTTTCTGTGGGAAGAAGTGAATCTCTCTCGTGGTACAAAACAATGGCACACTGACAAGCCCAGCGAGCAAGCCAGAACACAGGAGACCAGTTGCCTTACACGAAGCTGGCTGAAATCCGAAAAGCGGGAGAGCTTGTGATGTTTCGATGCTTCCTCACAGCTGGCTGGTCGCCAGTAGTGCACCCCCTTCAATGCGGGATTCTCCTAGCCCGAACCACATGCACAGCGATTGTAGCGCACTTCCTTCGCTGTGGTGAAAGTAAACTTACCCTTCCTGAAATAACAATGGAAGTCGAAGATAGGCCCCTGGAAGACAATTTTTCTCTGCAAGCAGGTGGTATTCCACTTCCATGTTAATGACTCAGAGAAGTAAAACCACCAAGAACCTTTACTTCACAGGACGGTCGGATGTCCATATAAGCAACAGCACCTGATTCCATCAATCCCACCGGGCCCCATGAAATTTCAAGCGTCATGGTGTGTGACTCTCAGAGAAAAACACCTCAAGGGGGCGGAAAGTCCAGCCTTCGGAGAGGCCTTCGCTTTCCCCTTTGCTTTGGCCTTCCCCTCCGAAACAAGGCAACCCCATGCAACTTTTGAGAAGTCCGCAGTTTGAGACACAGCTTGGCATCATGTGTGGCTCGAATTTGTGCAAACAGTTTTCGACTTCTTGTGAGAATGACACCGAAGCACTGCACAAATCGTGCCTTGGCCTTTGCCTTGGCCTTTCCTTTTGCCTCAGTGACTCAGTGGCTCCGGAGTTTGCATCGGTAAGTTTGCATCAAAAAACAGATGTTCATGCTTGACAAACTTTGGGAAGACTGGAAGACTACCGCACAATTCTGCCTTCGGACTCTCTGCTCCAAGCTTTCGCTTTCGATAGAATCACTCAACAGGAGTTGTGAAACCAAGAGACCGGCAATTCTAAGCGAAACGCTAGCCCTCCTGCCATCCTAAGACCGCGAGGGACCTCGGATCAATACCTAGAGGAGTCGCCCTCTGGGAAGCATACAAGCAGCTACACTTAGCCATGGATTTTTGCTCACTTCAAAAAGAAAAAGATGCGTCACCAAAAGACCTGAAGGTGTCCGTACACAGTTGGTAACCGAAGTTTAAAAACGGAAGCAGAAGCTACTCAAACGAGGCGAACCAGTGAAAGTTCAGCTCCTTCCGCCTCTTTCGGAGGCACCGATTCGACCTCGACTCCCACCGCTCCCGGTGGACCGGACCGCCTTGGCTTTCGGCTTCGGCGCTTCGACCTGCACCGGCAGAGGACCGGGTCGGGAGGAAAGGATCTTCGATGAACCACAGAACTCGTCAAGAAGACTCGTCAAGAAGACCTCACACGGTTGCCACAAGATGTGCGATTTGCTAGTTGGGCGTGGATGAAACCTCTTACATCTTTGAAGGCAAGTTACAAGTTACATAATGCACCTGCAAACTTAAGTGTGGAAGCTAAACATGGGCCATGAAAACATAGTTAGTAGGCTGTAACAACAAAACAAAAAACACCTCCCAACAACATCGAGGTCAACAATTGTCTCCACCCACAACCCATCCTTTAGCTTTGGCCTCCTGCAAGGTGTCCTCCATCTCCTCCTGTACATGCACTGGTGCTGGTGCTCCAAGATGCTGCAAAAATCGGTTGGAAGAAACTGACAGCAACTCATGGGTTGTTTACTTGTTGGACTCTGTCAGTTACAGCATCGCCCAAAGAACGAACAGGGCCTAGGAGTAGGATGACAGTCGGTCTTAGTGAAAACACTCCTGATTTTTCATCAACGCACAAAAGGATGCACAAAAAAATGTGACTCCCCTAGCAGCTCCGATCTGCTAGTCATTGGTTGCGAATGCACACATTCTGGTGGCGACGCCTCTGCCATGATCAGGTGGAACAGCGCGGGTAAAGCGGAGAGGTGCTGATGAGCCCAAGTGGAGAAATGGGTGCCTTTGACCAAAATGCGTGTGCCCAAACAAATCAGATCAAACTGTTTTGCATGGCAGACCGATTTTTCTTTGATGTTCGACATCCCAGTCACAACTGGGAAAGGGTTGTACAAAATATCTGATAGAAGTTAGAACCCAGTCAACCAGAGCAGTGTGACCTGTTGGAAACCCAGCGGAAAGGCAGTTCCATCAAAGCTGCGAGTGATCTTGCAACCAGCTGAATGTAGACTGTTAACAGTTTTCCACCAAATCCCGTTTTTTTTGTTTCATGTGTTTTTCTCTGTCGATTCTGAGTTTTTGAACTGCTCTTGCCTTTCTTGTTGTTTCTCCTTGCATCCTTCTCGTCGCTTTCTCTCACTGAGCAGGGCCCATTCAGCTGTCCTAATCTTGTCAACTTGCCGACTAGGGGCTGTGCCATTATTGAATCTGAGAGTGAACCACCTCAAAACTAAACCCTCGCATTCGTCCCGACTGTGTCCAGGTCAGCTGGGGAATTTACGCCTTCCACACAGCGTGACACTGCGGTCACATCGCGGTGCTGGGGAAGTTGGGCCACCTGTTCGGCCGACTCAGCCCACTCACGACAGGTTCAAACAATTTTTTCCTTGGTGGCCCAACTACGCAGCGACCACACTTAGATGGTTGCTCGCAAGAGCTAGGATCGGAATGAAGTCCCTCAGACTTGAATAACACTGAAGGTGCACGAACCGAAAGGCAAAGAAGTCCGTCTAGTGGAAGGTGTTTAACAATTTGTTTCGGTGCATTAGCCGCTTACTGCAAAACACAGAATTAAACAGCTTGGTCAACAGTTCAACTGAGTAAATCGTCGCAGGTACAATCAGGACGTCTCCCGATGCATCACCAGAGAATGTGGACGTCTTCGTTGGCAGTGATTCCACAAACTCTGTCACTGCCC